AGGGGGCTAGGGGGAGGCCGAAGTGGGTAAAGGGAATCAAATATATGGCAGCTGAAGGAAAGTGGACTTTGGGTGGTAAATACACAATAGGATATACAGATGTTAAATTATAATGTATACCTGAAAATTATATAATTATATTAACCAACGTTACCCCAATAAACTTAATTTAAAAACTTTTTAAAAAAATTACCTAGTCCCTCTATCGCCCAAATCACGTCAGCAGCACCGCTCTGTCCCTCACACAGTGGCAGAACTTGAAGGGTTTTAAAAAATTACCTAGTCCCTCTATTGCCCAAATCACGTCAGCAGCACGCTCTGTCCCTCACACAGTGGCAGAACTTGAAGGGTCACTGACATGAAAACGCTGGTGTTTGATTTCCAGTGTGTGTCTCCTCAGCATTAGGGACACTTTACCCTTGTGGTTTTACTAAAACACGCCAAAAAAAATACTCCAAGCTTGAATTAGTGTATTAAATAATAATAAGCATGACGGGAATGGCATTATTAGGAAGCACTGTGTTATGGACTAAATTATATGCCCCCAAAATGCATGTTCAAGACCTAACTCCTATTGTGACTATATTTGGAGATAGTCTTTAAAGAGGTAATTAAGCGATATAGTGAATGCGAGGAAAAAAACTGCTCTGCTGTGAAGAGAAGTTATCCAGCGTTGTGTAAAGTTGCAGATTTGTGCCCACTCACTCTAATTTTCGCCAAGTACATAAATACTGTTATTACAAAAGAAGTTATTTTGATTAAAAGCACACTCAAAATGGCATGGATTTATAGTTAGAGTAACACAAATTTTTCTCTTTTTTTCCAGATTATTATGGAAATATCATAGTAAAAATGGAAAATAATATAATGTTTTTTTTCAAGACGTATACTACGGATGCAATAAAGCTACATTTATGGATAAATAGTCAAACAAAATCATTCTTCTTCTTGAATGCATCTGGTAAAATATATCTCATATATGTTTTTGATAATGGCACAATATATCCACAGGACTATCCCTTAAGACTGGAAATACAAAGTATAGGTTCCAGATCAAAAAGTACCGAATGCCCCTTTATTGTATTTTATCATAATATTTTGTATATTTCTTACGTTTTGGACAAGGGACATCACCTGTCATTCTGGGCTCAAATAGTCTATCCAGAAAATGCTGGTCTATATATTACTATGGAATCATATGGCCCAAATATATTAGAAGAGAAGTCTCAGGTTCTATATGAAATTGCCTCAGGATACTGCACTAAAACCATGGTAAGTTAATATTTTTAAATTTTTTCATTTTAATAAATGTAAAAGTATAATATTAACATTTTTAAAAAACGATTTTCCTTTTAGATTTAGCTTGGAAAATGTTGAGAAATATACATGTTTTTAATAAACAATAATACGATAAGCCACAATTTTCACTTTCAATATCCAAGGCCTCTTTGCCACCTAAAATACATTCCTGCAAAACTATTTGACTGTCAATGATATTGTTTGCTTCCTTTTATTTTTATTTTTTTAATGCCTGTCTTTTCTGTAGAGTTCTACCTACTATGTAGGGTAGTATAAAATCACCACAAAACCTAATGATTTCAAACAACAGCCAATTCTGTGTCAACAATTTGGGCTGTGAGTATCTGGGCTTTTCAGCTTGTTTAATCTGGGTTTATTCATGGATTGTGGTCATCCGGTGGCTTGTCCAGGACAGGATGATCTAAGATGGCCTCATTTACATGTCAAGTGGTTAGTGCTAGCACTGGCTCGTTAGCACAAAGGGCCTCACCTGGAGCTATTGTCGCTGCTCTGTGTGGCTTCTATCCTCCAAACTACACCTGGTTTCTCTGCCTGACAATCTCGGGCTGTGTTCCCACACCTCGAAAGCAGAAGCAGTCACAAGGCCTCTTGAGACCTGGGTTTGACCTCATTCTATTCATCAACAAGGCCAGCCCAGATGAACAGGATGGGGAATTAGACTCCGTTTCTTAATGGAAAAACAGCAAATGTATACTATAAACAAGCAGTCCCCGACCTTTTTGGCACCAGGGACCAGTGCTCCCATGAAAATCTAATGCCTGATAATCTGAGGTGGAGCTGAGGCGGTGATGCTAGCGCTGGGGAGCGGCTGCAAGTACAGATGAAGCTTCGCTCGCTGGCCCGCTGCTCACCTCCTGCTGTGTGGCCCGATTCCTAACAGGCCACTGACAGGTACCAGTATCAGTCCACAGCCCAGGGGTTGGGGAACCTCTGCTGTAAAGGGACATGCATATAGGAGTGGGAGGAATTATTGCAGCTGTCTTTGCAAACATTCTACCACAATAAGTGTAAGTGCACAGGGTATATATATTGTTTTATATACTACTTTTCCAATTAATATTATAGCATAAACATTTTACATGTTACTACAATGTCTTCCCAAATAGTCTCCACTTCTGTTACCAAACTCAAGGGGTTCTCCACTTGGGGTGTTCTATTCAGGAGCAAGATGTGGTTGTCATTAGGTAGTTTTCTTTACTTGAAGCAAGACATCCAAAGCTCTGTCTCACTGAAGAGAGGCTTAGCCATTGCTTTATATGCATTATTTCATTAGCTAATTATACATCAATTTCTTCTTTGCAATTGGCTACACTTTTCTGGTTGGGTTCCTGTCAACCTCACCCTGCTTACAGCTGCATCTGCCAAATACTGTGCTACATTTTAACATTTAACAAGAATAGCATTTAGGAAGAACCACCCAGCCCTTGGACCCTTGCGCTATCTAACACTTCCTCTTCTAGACCAAGCTCCCTTAACTGATACAGTGTAACGGAAGTGTTCAGTTAATTCCAAAGTCAGTTAAAGCAGAGAATCATAATAAAATGAAACTGACAGGTATGGAACATTTTATTTAAGTAAATGAACTTACATTTATTACTCAATCTTTTACTATAGGATCACAGATTTTCCTTTGAAATAAGTCCGTTTATTGGAGTTCCTCATCTATTTCTGGCATAACCTTATTCATAAGGCCTCATCTCTGAGTTCCCAGTTCAGTGTCCTTAAAGTAGAGTGAAAAAAACATAAAGACATTTAAAACAACCAGCATTCTAGACTTTTATAATTTTTTTCAGTCTTTGATTGTTATCTTTCTCATGTCTAATTCAGCAATTTCTTCAGCGACTTGCTTATCAAAACTTTCCAAAGCAATCAACTTAGTTCTCAGGGGAAGAGTAACCCTACTTTCTTTTTACACTCATACTTCATCAGTATTTAATTTAATCCCACAATTACAGTAATAATGTAATCTGATATAAACAGGCTTGGAAACAAATAAAGCTGATTTAGATTTGCAAATAGTAACACAGATAGATCTTAAAACATAATGTTGAATGAAAAATAGTGTTGAGTGAGTAAGAAGCTGAAATATACTATACTTGTTTGATATATGATCTTAGGTATCTTTGTATCCTTGTAAAATGAATAATACTTGTTTGATATATATCGTGGGTGCATATTATGGGGGAAGGTGTTGGGAGAAGAAGATGTGGGGGAAATCAAAATACGATGAATAAAATGAGATGAGATTGATTGTGTTTCAAGAAACAAGGAGTATATTGAATTCGCTTTTCTGAAGCGGAGGGATCCCCTCTTTTCAGAACAAAAATAGAGAAGATTTACACATTTCTTCAGCCCAGAGGAATTTTCTTTGATGTCCCCAATATCTACATATACTCTAAGAGGTTTTCTTTCCAAGAATTGGATATATAATGTATGTTTGCCCATTTGAAATTCAGCCCTTCAAAATATTGGTTACCAACAAAAATATACAAATGACCAAGGACGATGGAACATCAAAATTGGTGTTTTAACAAAAATCTGGCTCCATGAGTTACTAGCCGATGACATTGAGCAAGTTTTTAAATCTTTCTGTATCTTAGTTCTCTCATCTAAGTAATGTGAATAATTATTATCGCTATATTTACTTCATAAGATTATTATGAGGATTAAATGAATTAATATGTATACAGGATTTAGAAGAGCACCTGGCACATAGTAGGCACTATATGTATGTGTTACTACCACAACTAATACGTGTGTGTGTGTGTGTGTGTGTGTGTGTGTATGATATATATATGACAAAGAACTACCATAAAATAATTCAGGAACATGGAGATTACAATGATCATACTTTAAAAATGTGGGGCTTATAATTTTCTGCTTCTACTATCACATATGTTTTTTAAATGGCTTTATCCTGAAAAGATAGCAACCTTGTGAAATGCTGAAAATTGAAATGAAACATGCCCCAGATAGAATAAAATAGCAAGAACATATGCAAAAGGCAAGTGGAGATTTTTAAAAATTACTCGAAAACAACAGAGGAAAGTTTCAGGCAAATAATTCCTCAGAGTCTTAACAATTACAAACAGGATGATATCTCTAATCATTTAAAACCCTCAAAGAAGAAATAAAAAGGTCCAGAGACAAGGTTATTAGAAAACAGAAGAAAGTGAAAGATTTGCTATGCTCGGGATATAAATGAAAAATTAAAATAAGAACATCGCAATGACAAAAGTCAAATGAGGAGGAAGAGAAAGGCAATAAAAATAAAGGACTAAAATAACATAAAATTAAAAGGAAAATGTAACAAAGTAAACATAATATGTACTAATTGGAGTTTCTGAGATAGAGAAGAAAATTGAAAAAGATGCTAAATATATTATTTTTCTTATATAAAGAGATAAATCTGTCTTGAAAGATTTAAACCTGTCTTGAAAGTATTCCCATTCCCAGCTTTTCTGCTTTACATGAACTTTTTTATCTCTTTTTCAGACAGTAACATTTTTTCAGACAGTAAATTATGAGGCAGTAAATGATTACTTCGAGTTGCAGTAAGTATGACTTTTTCTTTTTTAAATGCCTACAGCACCTTGTCTTCCAAGGTGGTCTCCCATCCAAGTACTAACCAGTTCTGACCCTGCTTAGCTTCCGAGATCAGACAAGATCGGACGCGTTCAGGGTGGCATGGCTATAGACAAGTATGGCTTTTAAAAGAACCTCTTCATGTTAAATATGCTATTCAAGTTATTACTTTGCAGGTATTCTATTATTTAAATATATTTTTAAATATCCAGATTTCAAATTCCTTGAAATGTCTGGATAGATGTGAAATTAGAATTCTGTATAAAAATGTAGAATACTCCTTGTAATTAAATGGAAACATGATCTATCTGAAGGTTCTCGCTCATCCAATTGCAAAAAAAAAGGCTCAGATGACATGATACTATATCTAGAGAACTCGAAGTTTCCATGAAAAAGCTAGAACCAATAAATGGATTCAGTAAAGTAGCAGGATACAAAATTAATATTCAAAAATTAGTTGCATTTTTATGCACCAATAATGAACTGTCATACAAAGAACTCATACAACTCGACAATAAAAAAAAAAAATTCCAACCAAAAAATGGGCAGAAGACATGAACAGACACTTCTGCCAAGAAGACATACAAATGGCCAACAAACATATGAAAAGGTGCTCAATTTCACTAGCTATTGGAGAAATGCAAATTAGAAATGCAAAATGAGATACCAACCTACACCTGTTAGAATGGCTATCATCAACAGGACAAGAATAACAAGTATTGGAGAGGTTGTAGGGGAAAAAGAGCTCTCATACACTACTGGTGGGAATGTACACTGGTACAGCCACTAGGGAAAATAGTATGGAGGTTCCTTAAAAACCAGGAATTGAATTATTATATGATCCAGCAATCCCTTTTCTGAATACCCAAAAAAACCTGAAAACATTTATCCACGAAGATATATGCACCCCTATGTTCATAGCAGCATTATTCACAGTGGCCAGGACATAGAAGCAACCAAAGTGTCCTACGATAATGATTGGATAAAGAAGAGGTGGTACATATATACGATGGAGTATTATTCAGCCGTAAGAAAAGATGAAATACCATCATTTGTGACAGCATGGATGGATCTTGAGATAATCATGCTAAGCGAAATAAGTCAGACAGAAAAAGTTTAAAACTTTTGATTTCACTCATATGTGGAATATAAAACTGAAAGTAACAAACAAACATGACAAACAGACGCATGGACACGGACAGTGGATTAGTGGTTACCAGAGGGAAGGTGGGAGGGGGACGTAGCGGGGATAAAGGGGTCAAATATTTGATAATGAAAGGAAATCTAACTCTGGGTAGTGAACACACAATGTAATATATATCCAACTTACTGTTGAATGGTACACTTGAAACTTATTTGATTTTGTTAAGCAATGTCACCCCAATAATTTTTAAGAAAGAAAGAAAGGAAGAAAGAAAGACAGAAAGAATAAGTAATGGTAAAAAAAGAAAAAAAAAACATAATGAACTCTCAAAAAGAGAAATTAAGAAAACAATCTTGCATCAAAAAGAATACCTAGGAATAAATTAACCAAAGAGGTAGACCTGCACTTGGAAAATTATAAGTCACTGAAGAAAGAAATTGAATAAGATACAAATAAATGGAAGCATATACCATGCTCATGGATAGGAAGAATTAATATCATTAAAATGTCCATACTACCTAAAGCAATCTATAGGTTCAATGCAATCCCTATCAAATATCGATGACATTTTTCACAGAACTAAAATAAATAATCCTAAAATTTATATGGAACCACAAAATGCCAGGCACGGCAATCTCGAGAAAGAACAATGTTGGAGATGTATCACAAAACCTGATATCAAACCATACTACAACCCTATAGTAATCAAAACAGCATGGGACTGGTATTAAAACAGATACATAGATCAATGGAACAGAATAGACAGCCCAGAAATAAACCCATGCCTATATAGTCAATTAATCCATGAGAAAGGAGGCAAGGATATACAATGGGGTAAAGACAGTCTCTTTAATAAATGGAGTTGAGAAAACTGGACAGATACACATAAAATAATGAAACTGGACCATCTTCTTACACCTTATACAAGAATAAACTCAAAATGGATTAAACACTTAAATATAAGTCTCAAAACCATAAAACTCCTAGAAGAAAACATAGGCAATAAATTCTCCGACATTGCTCTTCATAATATTTTTCTGCTATATCTCCTCAGGCAAGGTAAACAAAAGAAAAACTAAACAACTGGGACTGCATCAAACTAAAAAGTTTTTGCACAGCAAAGGAAACCATCGACAAAACGAAAAGACAACCTATTGAATGGGAGAAGATATTCACCAATGATACATCGATAAAGGGTTAATATCCAAAATTTATATAGAATTCACACGACTCAACACCAAAATATCAAACAGTCCAATTAAAAAATGGGCAGAGGATCTGAACAGACATTTCTCCAAAGAGGAAATACAGATGGCCAATAGACATATAAAGCTGCCAAAGTCGCTAATCATCAGAGAAATGCAAATTAAAACCACAATGTGATATCACCTCACACCTGTCAGAATGGCCACCATCAATAAATCAACAAGTGTTGGTGAGGATGTGGAGAAAAGGGAACCCTTGTGCACTGTTGCTGGGATTTTAAATTAGTGCAGCCACTATGGAAAACAGTATGGAGATTCCTTAAAAAATGAAAAATAACTATCTTATAACCCAAAATGAAAAATAACTATCTTATAATTCCACTTCTAGGTATTTTTCCAAAGAAATCAAAAACATTAATTGAAAAAGATCTATCCACCGCTATGTTCACTGCAGCATTATTTACAATAGCCAAGATATAGAAGCACCTTGAGTGCCCATCAACTGACAATTGGGTAAAAAGGAAGTGGTACATATATACAATGTAATATTAATCAGCCATAAAATAAAACGAAATCTTAATCATTTACAACAACATGGATAGACCTGGAAGGTATTAGGCTAAATTAAATAAGTCAACCAGAGTAAGACAAATGCCATATGATCTCACTTACATGTGGAATCTAAAGAACAAAATAAACGAACAACAGAAACAGACTCATAGATACAGAGAACCAACTGATGGCTGCCAAATGGGAGCGGGGTTAGAGGGATAGGTGAAAAAGGTGAAGGGATTAAGAAGTGATTGGTAATTACTAAATAGTCCAAGGGATGTAAAGTACAGCATAGAGAATATAGTCAATAATACCGTAGTAAATAGGTATGGTGCCAGGTGGGTACTAGAGTAATCGGGGAGGATCACTTTATAAATTATGTAAATGTCTAGCCACTATGCTGTACACCTGAAACTAATAAAAAATAATATTGAATGTCAATTGTCATTGAAAATGAAAAAAAAAGAAATGATACAGAAAAAACACGAGGGAATTAATCTGACCTTTTTGGAAAATTTTCTCAGAGTTAGGACTCCATTAAACTTGTCGAGAAAAATCAAGACTAGTTTCAGAACTCGTGTGTTATCTGACAAAGGATAGAATTGGGAAAAGTACATTTGAACTTAATGTTTATATTCGAAGACTTCTATGATGTTAAAGAAGTCTCGAAAGATCATAGTCTGAGATCATCTGACACAGGAGGGGACTGAACCCACAGAAATTAAACATCTTCTCCAAGCTCATGGGGCTGGTTAGTGGCAGATTGATGAGAAGGACCTTGGACCCTGGTCCTAGACCAGTACACCAGGTGTATGTCACTCAGTATGATGCTTTACTCAAAGAGATCCCTTTAAAAAGATTTTACCACAATATTAGAAAATCTTAATACATCGATTATCCTAATAATAAATTTGAAAGGCATAAGAACTTGGTGTTTATTCTAAAAGAATGTTTCCAAAACAAAACGATTCCAATGTAAGAAAAATATTACCCCAACAGTGTCTGAATAAAGTTAATCATGGACCTCCTCAAAAAAGAAAAAAAAAATGGGCTATTTCTTAATTCAACAATTTTCAAGCATGTTTTATAATTTATTCCCATCCCAAAGTCTTTAGATACTTTCCTTAAGCAAAAACTAGAACGCTAACATCCCAGAAAGTGCTTAACTTATGAGTAGAATCAGAAAAAAAACACAATATTTGACTCTTGGAATAAGGTAGCAATTACACACTTAATGTCTGGAGGAAGACAACCAACCTGGAATTGTGTCCTAAGGCATTTACGTGGTTTATCACTATGTCCTGACTCAATATATGTTTTGGAAAAAGAGCATTGTTTTCTAGGAAAAAGTCCATTGCTACTCCAAGGGAATTGAGTACCCCACTCTACGCCAAGAACTTTCTGGTTTTCGAAATGTGTAGTGAACAAGAAGGATAAAGTAATACTGTCATGAAATATCTCTAGTGAAAACCAGCAAGTACTCAAATGAATAAACAATATAATGCCAAATAGTTATAAACGCTATTAAGAAAATAAGATAGAATGACGTGGTAGAGAGTGACCAGGAAGGGTGAGGAATAAAGACTACGTTCGACACAAAGTCAAGAGAGGCTCGATTCGCCTCTTCTCCACTCACAAACTTTTCTCTTGATTCTTCTCATGGTGTAGATTCCTTTGGGTATTTTGGTTTTGTGGCTATTTACTCAGAATTCTATTGCTTTAGAATACACATCAAATTGTCCAGAATAATTTATGTCAGTCTGAGACTTGAGAAAAAAATACCAAAAGGTTTGAAATTAGTGATGGCGGTGGCGGCAGGGGGGCGGGGGGGCGGGATCTGTAAGAAAAATTGTATAGAAAATTGAAGATGCACTATTTACTTTAGTGTCCTTTATAAATCTATAGTGTATTACTGAATTTATCAAATCGAAGCCGTAATTGGCATAGCTATAAGATGCTTTCTGATTTCGAAGTTGTTAAATGAGAAAAAATGTATCTTGGAATGATGATTTAAAAATATGAAAATATGCTATTTGTATCCTCACTTACCTGTTACATTTTATATTTAATATATGTTTACTAAATATAAATATGAATATATAACGAACATTGGAAGAAAAAAGATGTTCATTTGCGGTTAGTTTGTGTTTGTTTTTCCCCAGTTTTTTCCAAAAGTAAAAACCTTAGCAGGGGAGCGGTGTGGATAAAACCGTCAGAATTCCTTCTCCTGTGATTTTTGAGTTCTCCCATTTTCCATGAGCACAAAATGATTTACGTGCACTTCATAAGCTAAAAGGGCATTGTGTCTGAACTGCCTTTTAATTCCAGTCAGATCGTATTATCCAGCATAATATGGTTCAGAAAACTAATTTCATAACTTAATCTTTATTGTTCCAAAGGCATTATCAATAAGAAGGAGCGATCTGTAGGAGCTAGACAAAGAACTGCTGGACAAGACGTCAGCAGCAGAGTTCCGCCTTCCAGGGACTGGGGGTCTGATGAAACAGCGGTGTGGGGCGTGGGGCGGGGAGGTTGAAATGCTGACAGATGCTCATTTCTATCTCCCATTGTGTTGACCCTATGCTGGCCCAAATCTGGAACGCAATGGGGTGGGAATGGTCACAACACACAGCTGCCTTAGCAGAAGCAGCAAGCGGTCATCACCGCCCTTCTCCAGGCCTCCAGAATTCCCCGTGGTGGTGGTGGCAATCCCGTCAGGGACATAGGACTTTTCATCTGCTCTACAGAAAGGCAGAGTCATGCCTACATCCCTTTTGAGTCTGTGATCGCTTGTCTGTGTTTTATTTTTCTCCTAGACAGCAGAACACAGGTCTTCTGATTGTTCGGGTTAGGCCTAGTGAATATACAAAAATGTGTCCAGCAGCCCAAAAGGTAAGTGACATGAGTAGATTAAAAACCACTTATTTCGATAATGAATACGTACAAATTTCCAGTTATAAAAACAGTCACGGGGATGTAAAGTATAGCATAGGGAATATAGTCAATAATATTGTAATAACCATGTATGGTGCCAGGTGGGTACTAGACTTATTGGAGGGCTCGCTTTGTAAGTTATATAAATGTCTAATCACTATGTTGTACACCTGAAACTAATCTCATATTGTATATCAACTGTAGTTGAAAAATAAATTTAAAAAATAATAGGTATTAAACTAAGTAATACATACTACCTACATATAATACTACTCACCTAATTCTTAGGAATGTTTTGTAATGTTTCACTGTTGAGATAGCATATTTTACTTCGGAAACAGATTTCTGCCCTCCACAATTACCATCTAAAGTGAGATATATAAACATATACCAAAAAAATATAAAATTATTTGGTTTTATAGGTAAATAAAGCTGTCTAAAGGAAAACTAAAATTAATGAAAACAACTAAAATTGGATATAATTGGTCAAAGAAGACTGCCATAATGTCCACATTTATCTTGTATTTATTTATTCAAAAATTTAACCATTTCTTCATTCAAAAAAGTTAATTGCCTGCCTACTGTGTTTCTAAGTTTCAGTCTGTGTGCCAAGTAATGGGAGTTAGAAAGATGAAAAGACAGTATGTTCCCTAGGAATCAACATCAGCTAGCGTAAGAGAATGTGGGACACAGTTGTCAGGTAGCCCAGATGAATGAGTGAGTGATTTCGATGGGAACGGGAAAGATAGAAAGGAAGAGATACACAAAATGACTGTTGAAGATCAGGGAGAAGTCGAGCAGGCGGCCGTCAGTGGAATTCCAGAGAGAGGTGAGTACAACAGCACAGTAGCGTGAAATAGCTGTAAGGTGCTCACGTCATGAAATTAAACACCACCACCTCCTCTGAGTGTTTGTTCCACTGAGGAACACCTCCTCTCTTTATTCTTTCTCAGCCTAACAATCAATAAACATATATTGAGCACCTCCTGTGCCAGGAATAACACAAGAAGGGATACCTACGTGAACAATTCAAAGTTGAATGAGACTCAGTTCCTGCCCTTTAGGACCCCAGCACAAGGAACAGGTTATACCAGGGCTTGGAGCCATGAATTTAGAGGGAGCCCTGAGCAGAGGCAGACGGGATCCATCCTTGAACGCTGCTGACACACACTGCTTCCCCAGGAAACTTCCTGCGGGCGCATACCAACCACTCCCGTCTGCCTACCTCGCCACCTGCCCAGCTAAATCTGCAGAAGTGAGAAATAGCCACCTCGGAGTTCCTGCCCCAGCCTACGTCTGTGTTTTCTACCTGATGGCTCCACCTTCTCCCATACAAGACACCTTCCCGAAGCACCTTGGTTCCCTCCATCCCTCTCCTTGTCTAATCGATAGATTTCTTGGGGATCCATATTCACCGCATCCTGCTCAGCCCAGGCATTACAAAAGCAGGTTAATCTAATCTGAGTTCAGATCCAGGCTCTACCACCTACCGGCTTGGACAAGCTACTCAACGCTGGGTCTCAGCTGCCGCATCTAACATCTGTCTCATAGTATTTATCTACTGCGTTGAGAGTATTAAATGAGATAATTTATGTCAAGTGCCCAGAAAAGTGCCTGTCACAGAGTAATTATCCAATATTACTGGTTTCCTCCTTTTCTTTCCTCCTTGGTACACCCAGAGACATGGACAGTTCAAATCTAGCCACCCTCTGTGTCCCAAATAATTGGTATTGATCTGCCCACTGAAGTAGAATGGAGGGATATGCAATAGTCCTTTGAGCAACAGGCAGGAAAATGCAGCCTTACAGAGGGAGATCTTCTTGCTGGTAAAGAAAATCATGACCTGGACACCACCACAAGGACCTTTCTTTGTGCTCTTAGACCTACCAGCAAGGAAGTCGCCAGCCCCCCAGATAAATACTACAGAGACACAGGGTGCAGCCCTGCATTTACATGAAACCATGGCCCACAGAAATCTCTTCTAGTTGCATAAAGTTAGGCCCTTACAAACCTTCTGGACCAAACGGACCGTGGACTGAGCCATTTGAACAGGAGCCTGATGTCGCCATTACGTCGTCTTCATAGCCTGCAGCAGAGCTGCAAATAGAACTGGTAGCAGCCACAGGGCTGCATCTCAGTTTTTAACCAAGATCCAGAATGCAGTGAGGCCACCCAAGTAAGCCAGTCCCCAGAGGACCTTCGTAATTCTATCCAAGATTGATTTCCCCAAGAAGAGATGATTATGCTCCATCTAATACATCATCTACCAACATTTCTGTGTTGAGGGCCTTTAGAATTTCTGTCTCAGTCCAGTTGTTCTGTCCAGTTAGAGGGAATATGTTGTGTCTAATTCTGAGCTAAGGCAAGAGCCATCCTATTCTGTCTGTGCACTTAAGAGAATAATATTAAGTAAAGAAAACCAGAGCACTCACTGTTTTCACTCGGGCTGTCAGAATTTCTCTAATTAGGTATCCAGTCCAGAGGAAAATGTGTCAGCCCTACAGCAGTGGGTACCCAAGCCAGGCTGAGTCATGCTTCCCACGCTCTGCACCTACATTCCTGTTCAAGATTCACCTGCAGGTCAACTCATATTATTAATTCTAGTCATGGTTGTTGATTCCGAGGCTAGGGGTGATTTTTGTCAACTAGGCCCTGAAGAAGAGGGATGTGACAAATAAGACAAGCTGATGATGGATCTTGACCACAAAAGATTTCAGGACCTCAGTCATCCATGTATGTCATGTGGATAACTTAGTCGTGAGGAAGGGGAGGCCCATGTTTCTGAATGCATGTTATGGGAACACAAAACTTTAATGCTGATGAACAACAAGGATGTGGGTAGAACTGATGAAAGAGCAAATCAGGTGAGATCGGATGACTCAGCAGATAAAATCTATGTGGAGCATGCCTTTCAAATGAAGCCTGAAAGGTCTTAGTTCAGAAGGATAGGTCTTCTAACTCATCAACGTTGAGTGGACATCATTCTCTATCCCCACCCACCTAATTCCCAAGCCCTTCTTTAGGGTAGGGAGTATTAGGGGTTTTCAGATTTGCCTAGTGGAAATATGCAACAAACAAGATACATTTAAGACAGAATGCAAGGGTCTAGATTCCACTTACAAAGCCTGGGGTGGGCGTGGTGGGGTGCAGGCAGGGTAGACAGCAGTGAGTAAAGTGTCCTGGAGCCAGGTAGAAATAGAAGTAGTCATCCCAACCAAGGGAGAATCTGGACTCTGGTTAAAAAGAAATCAAACTAATAACTAGATTTATTATAGAAACCTGCCAGCTGAGTCAGGTACAAGCTGGAAGTACAGAGTTGATAGAAGTCGATAGATGATGGCAGAGGTGCTAGTGGAAGATGAGACTGAATCAGTTCTCTGAGATATGGATGTAAGAAATCAGAGAACCAATCTCTGGACCTCATGAGCAGTAAAGGCAAAATGAAGCAAAGAAAGAGAAAAGAGTGATCAAGGAGGAGGAAAACAGCGCGGAGCAGTAAATATAACAAGAGCTTACATTTAAAAGGTTATTATTTCAAATCTAAAAGACACAGGGCACAGCTCTACATTTACATGTAATTGCTTTTACCTACAGAAATATTTTAGATCACATGGATCAGAACCACTGAACCGACCCCCTAAATTATTCCGTTTTAGGTGTTCCAAGTAGCTGTTGGCTGTGATTTTAGTAAATTCATTGCTATTAAAGGGTAAGTACATTTGCGTTTGACCTGTCATACTCTTTATGTTTTAAAGCAAATGGTGAACTAAATGGTGATTACTAGTGATAATATTAGCTTAATGAATGACATGTCCAGAATGAAATCCAAAATTGAATTGACACTGGTGTCCAAAAATTGTATTGACAGGTTCTCCAAACCAGATTATTTTACTTTTTGCCAAGTAGAATATTATGTATGAATCATACTAAAAGGGAAAAAGAATTAACCTTTCTCTGTTATTAGTGTTTTTCTCCACCTTCCCTTTTAATGATTCAGTTTCCATTTTCCGCTCTTACCTCTCTCAGCTCTTCAGTCTAACTCATTCCCAGAGAAATGAGAGGGAGAAACACTTATTTCTGTTTACCATCCTACCGGAAACAGTTATAATTTCATTTCTAATAGAGAACTGCTTACATCCACATCAGAGGAACCTCAGTGTCTGCACCATTTCTGATGGGAAATTTTCTTAAAGCAAACCTAGCAGAACCACCCGTGTTTTTTCCAGAAGGTCCCAAGGTCTGACTTTCATTGACCTTACCGTGGTTTGCAATGATGCGCCCCGGATTTTATGTCATCAGCTTGCCACAGCTCTCTTTCTTCTCCATGGGAGAGAATCGAGGTTGGCAAACACAAATCTGTTTAACTGAGGTTAAAGGTATAAAGGAGACAGCGATGCATTGCGATTCCTTTCCCGTGGTGTGCAGTGGGGGTGAGAGTCGGGGAACGTTGACTCTTATCTGAGTCTGTTTATGAAATGACTCGCTCACATCCAAAACAAACGTCTGCTCATCTGTCGTTTCAATAGCCTTCTGAGGACTAAATTGTAATAATCAGTTGCTGGGCTGTTACTTAAGAATTCTCAACTCTTTCAGCAAGGACTATGCACTTTCTGTAATTCCTTTTCCAGGAAACACAAAAACTAACTGATTTATACAGCCTTCCACATCCTCTTCCTGGGATGGTCTACCTCCACACTCCTGAGAGTGTGATCTATGACCAGCGCTGGCATCGCATGGGGAAGTATTAGAAATGCAGAATCTCAGGTCTCATTCCCACCTGCTGAGTCAGAATCTGTGTTAACAAAATTTTTAGGAGATTAGTAGTAAGAGGACTAAAATTTGAGAATAACTGCTCCAAGCAACATGTTGCCAAACCCAGTTACCAATACTGCTGCGTGCAGGTACCTTCTTCGGTGAGATGCAAAGCAGTCTGAATCACTCTGTTTCTGGAAGGGTCTACATAGCAATTGTCAAGTTTGTTTACTCATTGGAATCGCTTGGCAAGCATGTTTAAAACACACAGATATCAGCACCTTTCTCCAGTGCCTCTTAGTCAGAGACGCACTGCTCAGGAACCCTAAAAACAACCCTAATTTCTTAGGTTCAGGTTGTGGTGAGCCTAAGGTTTTCACAATCACCAAAGGAGACCAGTGGGGTCCAAGATACTTCTGACAGGAGAGTCATCAGTGAAAGAGGGCATCTCTTGGGGTCTAATTTGGGTTTGGTGTGGGAGATGGTCTAGACTTCCAGGATCTATCTAAACACAGTGGTGACCACAGTTCCTTTTGAGTCACGCTGGAAGCAGCCAACGAAAATGGTCAAATGAACAGCATACTAAAAACACTATCATTTCATATACCATGATAGCCTGAGGTCCGCATGAACCCTAACTAGAAATTATGTGAACCTTTAAAGGGGCTTCTTACCCACACAACTGAGTCTCTAGTAGCAATTAGAAATCTATCTTTTGTCTATGGCTATGCCACCCTGAACAAGCCCGATCCCGTCTGATATCGGAAGCTAAGCAGGGCCAGGCCTGGTTAGTACTTGGATGGGAGACCACCTAGGAAGACCAGGTGCTGTAGGTGGGGATTGTAAGCTGATAAGGTCCTTGCACTCTGTGAGGTCAACCAAGAGTTCCCTCATCTAAAAAAAGAAAAATCTATGTTTTTAAAAAATGTATGAGCAATAAAACCATCTAAAGAAATATATCTTCATTATGATAGATTTTCTATCAATTTTTTACATGTAGCAAATATAAAAGGTAAATCAGGTTTCAAATTCTGGTGTCTTTAGAAACACTTGCGAAACTGATTTTTAAAAATAGAAATGCTAGGGCAACACACCAATCCCAGGGATTCTAATTCAATAAATGATGATTTTGTTAACACTTTCAAGTTTGAGAATTATTGAGTTAAAACATTAAATGTTTGTGCAAGTATATAAGGAATGATGATATTAAAACTTCATTGTGTTTTTTTTTTGTAGATTTAATAGGAAAAAATGTCGTTGGCATGATTTCTTTTACATTATTCAAAAGTAAGAAATATTTTTATCATAAGCACTAAATTTTTTATTAATGTGGTACCAATAATTTAAAATCAGTTAACATTTATTCCTATTAGCACCGATTTTTTTCAATATATGCACTTATTACTATAAATTTAGTTCTAGGCATTGCTTTTGCTGCATCTCACAAATTTTGATAAGTTGCATTTTCGTTTTCATTTAGTGCAAAATGTTTTAAAATTTCTTATATATGTATTGTTAAATCTCCACATATTTTGTAATTATGGTTATCTATTTGACTTGTGTGATACCCTCTTCCCCAAAGTAATGGTTTTAATATTTAAGTTTGGAAAAGGATAGATAAGTAATGAAAAATATCTTTTTTACAGGTCATATCTGAGAAATCGACCTTCTAAAAACTTGGTAAGAACACTATCATTTTATCAATTGGTCAAGTACAGAAAATAACTAAAGCATTTTTCCTTTTCTAGAGAGTAAAATATAATTGGAAAAAATATGGCTGCCCATTGAGACTTAATTTCAGAGAAAAGTTTCACCCTGTGGTTCAATTGTAAGTATATTTTCACTAAAACTTGAACTTACTTTGAGAGTTTCAAAATAAAAGCATGAAAGAAAGGCTAATTAATCATGCATTTAATAATAAATATTTTGAGCACCCAACATATGTGACACTAGGTTTTCAATACTAGTTACACAAAGTCGGACAACCCATGGTCCCTGCATGTCAAGGGAGGTTACAACTTAGCACCTGAGATGTAAGTGTGTTAGAGGGCTGAGCCTCTTCTCAGGGATGCAGGCTGTCTCTTAACCCTCCCTTCGTCCTCTCTGAACCTCCCTCCAAGCTTCTACCAGCACCTCTGCCTATTTAATAGAATCTACCTTCCCCAGGTGACATACGACTTCTCTATCGGCCAATAAAAACTAAACGTTTGCAAGGAAAGAAGCTAGATTACTAATAAGGGATCGTACACTGGGGAGATTTCAAAAATATAATCTCTAATTTAAGTCTTATAAGTAATATTGCATCATAAAAATATGAATAAAATACTACGTGGAAGGCTTTTCCAAGCAATTTTGCATTTGTTTGCCTGCTTCTCTGACTTTATTCTTGATTTCTGATTATAAAAGTTAGACAAATATAAAAAAATAAGAGATAAATGACCCATGTTTCTAATATTTTGCTATTACGAACAACATTGTGGTGAATATCCATTTATGTACGTGTTTGGACACTAGTCCAGATATGCCATTAGGATAAACTACTAAAAGTGAAATTCCTAGGTGTAAAACATGAAAATTTTAATCAAGCCTTTCAGCTTTGGGGGCCTTCTTAGGCTAAAGACAGATTCTGATATCCCGCAGGGTGGGTGGGCCAGGAGTAATGAATCAGGAGCTCCGACTTAGTTTTGCGGTCAGAGCCTCCACTGTTGGGATCCAAACGGCTTCTGCCAACGTATTCCGCCCCCGACTCCTTACCCACGGCAGATCTATGATGCTGCGTTGTGCCCTCTGTCTCTTACATCGCCCTCCTACAATCCCTGTCATGGGCCCTCTGAGCTGTCAGGCCTGTCCGCTATCTTGTTTAGTTTCGATCTTCTTCTAGACATCTATCTAATCACGCCACTGCTTTTCCTGGGCACTGTAGGCACTCCTTCTCCCACGGAGGCCCAGTATTTCTCTTTGTTTTATGTGGTCCCTAATCCCTCAGCAGTAAAATATGTTAATGTTCTCTCTCAAAGAATGCACTCTTCAGTTAAATTCGTCGTTATTAAACACCTACTCCGCACCAATTACTGTGCTAGGCACTGGGCATTCAAAGGTAAATAAGACAGGATTTCTGCTCTCAAGGGCTGAAGAGTCTGGTGAATTAGAAAACGTATGAGCTGATACGCTAAGTGGAATGACAGAGAGAAATGTCGTGGGTGGCTGGTATTGAAACTCAACAGAAAAGTGTCCAACTTAGCTATGGAAGGAAGAAGGGCTCTGAGAAATGTTCCCAGAAAATGTGCATTTGAGCTGAGTCACTGAGTCTTAAAGGATAATGAGTACTTAGCTGAAGGCAGAGGAGGGAAGGACAGGAAGTTAGAAAGGTAATAAAGAATTCCACGGGCTGAGCCTTTCAAGCAAAAGCAATAGTTTGAGGAAGAAACTGTACAGTTCGAACCATATAGTGTTAACAGGGTATAAGTGAGGGGTGAAGTGTCAGGACAGGAGGCTGGGAGACCAGCTGAGTGAATTTCGGATTGTGGAAGGTTCTCTCTCTGTCTCATGGCGGAGCAGCCGATCAGATATTTGCTTTAGCTCGTTCTCTCTGGGAGAAGATAGAAGGTGAATTTGAAACAAGTCTAAATGAAGAGCCCAGATAGTAAACTGCATTGTTAATCCAGGGAGGAAATGACCAAATGACTGAAATAGCCGCGAAGACAAAGGGGAATCATTTACGAGAAAATTTAGCGATTCTAATAGTAGGGCTTGAGAGCTGATAGATGTGAGTGG